TTTGCCCTTTTCCGCTACCTTGGACATGTGTGCATTCCACGAGCAGTCTTTTGCGATCTCTACTCCAAGGTATGTGTACTGGTCCACTACTGCAATCTCCTCGATCCCCCACTTCCATCTATGTTCTACTGGTTCCTCCTTGTTCTCGTTGCATACCATGACGGCACTCTTCTTAACGTTGGCAGACAATCTCCACTTATCAGTAAACTTCTTCGCCGCGTCAAACACCGGGGGGGGCGGCTTGTTTTACAACGTCGTTGTCAAGCGACGAAAACCCAACCCCGATGGCAAACACCGCGGGAGAGCGGGGGGGGGAGGATCAACAGTCGAGATACTGTAGATGGACCACACCATCGGGCGTGAATTGTAGTCTATTGGTAAGGAGGGCATCAATCCACGTCTACGGGCAGCATGATTATAATAGAATACGGTATTCCGTGTTGCAACGACTCGAAAACCGTCGGGAATGGTGTGCTCGCTCATGAAAGTGGCGAGTCCGTGTTGTAAAAAAAAAAGAAGGTCACCCTGTGACCTGAACGATCGGATATTGCCGCTTTTACCTGGTACTGCAGGTTGGTAAGAGCTTGGAGATATGCATCTCGCACCGAGTAGGGGGGCTGTATGGTAGATTCGGATGTGACACTCATCTACTGGGTACCAGATGATGTGGAGAAACTATGATTAAGTATGACATGTCCGAGCCCCCGATGCTCACCGACTCTTCTCTGGGCATGGGTGATCTTCTCGGGGTTGGAGACGATAACGCATCCAGCGCTATCCGTGTGATTCAACCGTGTCTACACGACGAGCCGGGTCATTCTCACAACTTCATGCCTGCCTCGTAAACGCCTCACCAGATCACACATGACAACCAGTACCGGGCTGAAGTAGTTGTCAGCCGTATGGCACCTGAAAATATACACGGACAAGAGTCACCAATAGGACCACGACAGTGGAACGGCAGGTCGGTGTTGCGCGAGAGGAAACGGCAGAGAGCACGGTCGGATGTGGGATGTGGCGTGAGTGAGACAGTAACACAGAAACGAACCACAAGAAGGTGAACACAACCAACCACGTCAATCCATCAAAGCCAGACACCCCATTGGTACATAGGCCACGTAGCCATGCCCGATCAAGGTTCTCCTCGCAAGCGCGGGGCATACAAACATTGCGCCACACGACGAGCAATCTCAACGCACCAAAGGAAAAGACACTCAATCCAAGGGACGCGGGACGTTTGGATTGCGCCCGCGCGGAAGCGTGGTAGAGTCCCAAGCGAAAGGGTCACGGCGATGACGGCTCTATCGCTTTCGGGGGAGGCCGAAAGACAACCGCGGACGATCTAACACCAGGGTTAGTTAGTGCTCGTGGTGCAATTCGCAACTTTCGAGTGCTCTCTGGGCTAATACTGTTAATATAGTGTTGCGGAAGCCAACGGCAGCTTCAAGACTCTTTCATCATACAACGTCTAACTCTTGCGCACGCATCGGTGAACCGTTCCTCTTTTCCGCTTGGGACACCAAATCGGAATTGAGTGTCGAATTCAATGTGAAGTTGAATGTGGAATTGAATGTGGAATTGAATGGCAGGTATCACCAAGAACAGCAGTGCTCCAACCTGCAGCAGGTAGCGGCCCATTCCAAACAGGTTCCATGCATGTCTTTACTACCTACAGGAATGGTCGGAGCGATAGAGCAGTTCCATGCACTTTGTGCCGTTTGCTACGCACATGACTCCGGGTTGGTCGGCTGTTTGGGCACATGATTACAAAAGAAGCAGTAGTCTATCGACTCTAGTCAGCTTGAGTGATTGTGTGTATGCGTGATTTCGTCCTATTTATTATGGCGACAGTCCCCCCATTTTTCGTGGTGAGACGTGTACTACACTTTTCAGCGTATGTAGAGTACAGTAGGGGGCCCTCTATAGTGCCGGTATGTGTTCAGAGAGCAAAGCGGCACTATACCGGGCACCGGCACTATTCAGAGTACAGAAAGACTTGATATTCCGGTGTGTGCGAGCCGAAAACACCGGCACCATACCGGCAACCGGCACTATTCAACCGGCACTATATCGGGCCTCCCACTGTACTGCACTTTTCAGTGTGCTTTTTCGTACAACTACAACCATCCAGGGTCACACAGGAGGGGGTAAACACCAGGGCTTTATTCTTTTTGTTTTTATCGCGAGAAGGGTCCAGCCGTCCCTTTCCCTCGTCAACGGTGCTCACGTCGAAGTTTGGTACTCACGAGAGCTTTTTAGCTATATTTCGCTTTCACCCGCAAATTTCGTAATTTTTTCACCCCATGGGGATTCGAACTCACGACCTCTGCGACTAGCGGATTACGAGGATACCACTGGACCACCGGGGCGACCGGTTAGTGATTACAGCAGCGGGAACATCGAAGCCAGCAACGCCGGGTCGAGCGCATAATTTGCAGGGCGTATCGCCTGAAACGACAACAAGGAAACGTTGGAAAGGCTTATCAACAAGCATCCACTCCGAGAAAGTCCTCCAATCTCGCGGGGATATATATACACCTAATATAACAGCTGCCGCTGCCCCACTCAGACAACAAACTATCCGTCCTGTGTTGATGCGGGCAAGTTAGGAGGACCCTCTCTAACCTCCTTCAGAGATTGGATAGGCTACAGCCCAGGTTACTTCGGGAATGCAAAAAATGCATTGATAGCATCACCAGCAGGCCACAACCATACCATCGGCAGGCACCCTTCGGCAAGACCAGCCGACCCTGTTAGACGACAACCGCTGAAGAGCAACATGAGGGTGAAGAACGAAAAACCACCCCCAGCAGTACTAGAGTATAATACAGCAGTCACAGCAGTTCGAACGTGTCACGGTTGGTCCGGGCGAACAAAACAGCAGTGTCATTGCACAGAGTATCTCTCATGCTGTGCCTGCGCCCCCAACACTTTGATACGTCCTCCCGTAGGCCGACAGCAGTGTGTAGCTGTTACGCGGCCAAGTCCCAGCCACGCTCTGCCTGCGAACTCAACCCGACGTGCCTACAACTGCTGTAATCGTCCAGTAGTGTATTCGATATGCCAACCGTTGAATAGCGTGTCCAACGAAGGGCACGTTTCGAGTCGTTGCACATTGATCTCTCTATCAGTGACAGCAGTTAAACCACTTCACGTCCGCCAAATCGAGACGTGCACCCAGCATGCGTCTCTCTCCACACTGCGGTGTATAGCAGTGACAATGCAACACTACAGTTGTAATACATGTACACGTGTTTTGCAGACAGGGGGCCCAGAACAACGCCGCAGTTCTACAATACATAACCTACACCATAGAGCTAAATATTATAATGCGAGAACGAACAACAACAAACCGCGGACCCAGTTCAACCATGCTCACATGAGGTAGATGACTACGAGGAAGAGCACGAAGTACCCAGGAATGTACCCCCACGAGACAGAGTCCGAGTCATCAGTCAAGCTTCTTGATGATACGGCACCATAACCCCACTCCAACTCCATGGCGTGTGCAGCTCCGATGCTCCGATGCGTGTGGGTTGAAGCAGGAAGGAGGCAGAGGAAGAGTTGGTTGATTGACACCAGTTGACACCTGAGAGGGGCACGGCAGAATGCAGCAATTGTTTGAGTTCACGTGGCCCCCAGTTGGAACGATGAGTGAAAAATGAGAAAATGATCGCGAGTAGACGTCATCACTTACCCATCGAAGAAGTACGCAGGGCTGCAATACGGTCGACGTACAGGGTACACAGAGCAGGTACTAATCAGGGGGAAGCATAGGTAAGGCAGAGTAAGGCAGACAGACTGGGAGATGGATAGCACAGTTGGTGATGATCGGAGGAAGCGTTTCGGAGACTGGAAACGGCCACAAAGCCTAAAATGGGACGGACATGGTCAGGCTGCACAGACATCCGAACTCCCGTAACGAGTAATCTTCGGTAAAATCGGGAGCCGTTTACCGTTGACGGTTTGTTTCTGCCGACACCCAATATGGTCGACTTTGCGCCAGCATTCATGGGGTCTCGGTATTGGCCAATGCATCAAATCCGTTTCGAATATTCAAAAACAATCGACCGCTCTGATTGGTCGTTTCCTCCAAACAAACGCCGCATCGAGAAACATATCCGAACCCGTGGACTTGCTTGGATCCAGTCCACCTACAGGCACCGCTTGAGGTAAAACGAAAACAGTTGTGACCAAAAAACGCACAACAATCACTTCATTCATCCATACCACCGGGGCGATTGGCCTTGAAGTGCTTCATGTTTCAACGTGGTAGCGCAGGGCACTGCACTCGGCGGAGAAGGAATGCGGATATTCACCATGTCCTAGTTCGTTGCCACGGCATCGCATGCTGCATGGAAGCATACAAAATACATGAAAAACACACATCACACAGCGGGCCGCATCATCCTAGTCTCAGCGTTTTGCACTTCCACCACGAGGGTGCAATTAGTTGTTCAGGGCGATGTTGCTGAGGAGACGGTGGGCGCGTGCTGCTCACTACCAAGGGAATGGAACGCGTTGCAATCCTACTTGTAGGTATTTTAGTCAAGCCGTGAAGAGATACACACCCGGCGCAAGACGGTCCAAGCATTGGAGTTGACCTCTGATGCAACTTGACACTAAAGTTTTGTTTGGGGGACACTTGGGGCACGATATATGCATATGACACAATGGAATGCCCGCTTGGTTCACTGTTGAAAGCCTGGCGCAGGCGTTCTTCTGTATAAGCGGCGAAAAAAACGGAAAAACACAAAATAAGACGATCGACGGGTCCGCACAACTAAGAACGTACATGCCCCGCGCAAAGCAAGCTGGCGAAACCTACTGAACATCCACAGAGCAACCCTACATGTATGTAATCTTATGCACTTATGCATGATGACAGGTCTCGGCCAAGATAAGGTTTTCAGCGCTAGTGGCTGCGGTTAAATCACATCGCTCCCGGTGAACTGTGACAGTCCACAAGAGGGTGGCCACAAAACAAGCCGCCACGCGGAACGGGTCACTCACTAAAAAAATATATCACCGCAGGCAATGCATACAAAGTGAGACATGGTCGTCACAGGCTGCCAAACAGCTTAAAAGCACTTCGTACACAACAAGAAGAAAAACGGACTGATCGTTACTCAGCGGATAGAATCACACTACAACACGGTCAGCAAGACGCAACAAAATCGCTGTCAAGCAAGGGTCCCAGAGCCCCCCCATGAACACATGTGGCTCCAAGGCAATACAATTCCCCAAACAGAACCAGACTTTCCTCGTCTTTCATCCATAGGGAGCACCATCAGCACGACCCGAACAGCTGGCTAAACGATGTACAAGCACGAATTATCGATAGCTAGCTAGCGCCCAACGGAAGCTCGGACTAACTGGACCACCGCCCACAGCTTGTCCGCAAGGGAGTCGCAATAAAACATCCGGGTCATGCTCGCGGCAAATCTTGCGCCAGACTTAGCCACAGGATACTGTCACGTCGTGGTGTTTGGAGGGCGCCCAGACGGCAAAGATCAACGTGGATTGTTACGTTAGAGTTGGGAGACGGTTGCGCGCACGAGGGTTGCTTGGTGATTAACGCTTGGGGGAAAAATCGGTAAAAAAAAAGCAAGCCAACTCTACCTATACTCATACGTCCTCTTTGTCTCAGCCTCTTGAATCGGGACCCATGGCCATTTCAGTTATATCCAACACCAAAAATATTGGTGAACTGCTGTGTCCAGATGCCTCCATAACAGCCCCAGCACACACACCGTAGAAGGCCCGCTTCCAATGCGAAGCCTCCGCTGGGACATGATGCTCGACTCTCAATATGACCTCCAACATTCAACACAACCGAGCGTGAATTGAACAGTGTCGTTACTGACGAATGTCAGCAACTGTTCCCCAACAAAACATCAAAATGGGACACACAAACGCAGCAAGTTGTAGTGGACCCATGACCATATGCAAGTCACAGCACATACGTTGCGACGCGATTAGGGTGGAGAAAAGGCATGCGCTTTTTTCTCATGAACCTAGTTCCCGACCGCTTGCTGGTCGAGCGTTCCAGTCTCATAACCACGAACAGCCGAGATGCATTGCATTAAAAATAGGTCGAGAACAAATGAAAAAACAAAGGTTTCAAACGAACCCCTACACCACCAGGACATAGATCGTAGAATCCACTATAGAATGTATCGTAGAATAGTATACCAGATGCAAAAAGCAACGGCACCTGTAGAGGAGCAGGCACGACGGTGCCCATTATCTTGGGGAAGCGGTCGACCGTGACGGACTTGAGAAGGCAGCACGCGCGGAGACCCTCCGGCCCCGCGAATCTCCCGTAACCCGAGTCCTTCACGCCTCCGAAAGGCAGAGACTGCGAAACAGCACGCCGGGAAAAGGTGGAGAGAACAAGTCACGCTCCGGCGGACACTGCACGGCAACGCTACACACACACAGTGCACGGGAAATATGCCGGATGGATTGTTCTCGGGGGGGGAGGGGAGGAAGATGCTCAATAAACGCCATCACGGAAACACTACAGTGTATGCCAAAGGGAAAATGAAGTACAGCACAGCAGTACCGTCAGGGTTGGGGTAGCGTTGCTGCCTGTAGTCACGCGGCCGCCGAATCACGAACATCAACGTCAGCGCGAAAAATACGAATAAACGAAGGTATGGATAAATGAATAAATGAATGAATGGATGAATGCGTCTGTGCATACCTGAACCAGGTAGTTGACGCCGAAGTCGTTGACATTCGTCATACCGCAGCGAATGGCCTCCCCCAACCTCACCGCGCGAGTGCTGCTACCGGAGAACACAGAGCTCGCCAGACCGTACCTTGACATGATCGGGCAGCCAACAGAGCAGGAGCAAAGCATGGTTGGTGCAAGCAGGATTCGATCCAGAGAAACTGGCATGTGAGGCAAAACAGGCGAATCCCCAACAAAGGTGGGCCATCACCAACTGAGGCCGCGCCACTGGAAATAGCGGTACCGGATGTTCTCAGATCATTCAGCACGTCCCACTGTCATAAGGTGCGTATACAACATCTCAATGGTGCGCGAGAAAGGATACCGACACAGGCCACAATACGCCCGCTTGCAGGTGCGAATGAAACTGCCACAGGACACCGCAGACGTAGGCGGTTCCAGCTGTGGCACAAAGGCTACCTACATCTGGACGGTTTCGCGACATCACTGCCATGTGTGTACTCAACCCATGTGTGTGTGCTACCGCCATTTCCTGTGTTCTGGGCATCACGTTTACACGTTCGGCAATGCGTATTTGTGGAGCCAAAAGCTGCGGCGGGTTGGCGCAAAGGGTTGATTTCGTTTTGCTATTAAGACTTCTCCGCCATACTGTCCTTGAGGCTTCCTTCGGGGGGCGTGCTTGCCTGAACTGTCATCCCGGACAGGTTGAGCCATCTCGTTCTCATTCTCTCCATGACCGCAAAGTCGAACTTCGTGAAAGAAAAAATCAGTCGTTCTCCACTCAATGCAATACATCTTGTACAACAGCAGAACCCTCGGTCTCACTTGCTGGAGTTGATCATCTTGATGCATGCCTCATCGCTGTCGCCGGGCACCTTAATGATCGACATCACAGGACCGAACACCTCCTCCTGAGCAATCTTCATGTCCGGAGTCACTCCCGCCAGAACCTGGAACGCAAGAGATGGGTGTGGGAGGCCGGGGAGTGAAAACCGCCGGTCATTGGAAGCGGTCGTCGTTGCATAAGAGAAAGACCATTGACAAGTTGATTCAGCAGTCGTCCGCGATACAAGCACACCAAGAGCAACGACACTCCCCGCTATAAGGGCGGCACGATTGGCCGAAGCCCGGTGCCCAGCAGAGCAAAAAACAGCAGGGGGGGTTGAATGTACGCAAACTTTCCCGCACTAAGCATACTTTCGTTGAAGAAAAATTGTCAATGTCCTCTTTTCTGGGGTGACTGCACTAAACTTGCAAACAGACTACCTCCGCGAGTAATCATGCACCGTCACCATCATGAACTTGTTAACGCCGGCTTAGCCATCCTTTCCGCCACAATCTGATTAAGCGGGTCGATTCTTCAAGTCTTCAGCTGCGGGGGGGGGGGGGGGGGGGGGGGGGGG